CTTCTCTATCGATCATAAGCACTCTGCATGTCGTAACTCTCTCCCGAGTAATTACAACAATATACTAGACATATTCTCCCGAATTACGCTAGCTAGCTTTAAGTACAGCTCACTTAGATCGCACCCAAGGTTTCGTTTTCCCTAATCCCACCTTTAAACCCTTCGTATTGATCTCTCACATACGTTAGGAGTGATGATGTTCAACAACTACCTAAATATACACTCTTCCGAGTAATGCACACTAAATAGGAACAGCTAATTGAGGGCCCTTCAATCAACAGCAATAAGCATATAGTTTAACAAATAGAGATAATACTACGACAAATCTATATTAACATAACGAGAAAATTATCCTTCAACAGGTTCCATCAAAATCCTAAATTAGGTATTTAGATACTCATGCTCATAGTAACAATTTCCCAAATAATTTGCGTAATCAAATTACAAATTAAAGATGAAGGAATGAAGAATTCGATGATAATCTCCTCCGGAAATGGCTCCAAACGTTTCCTCCCTTCCAAAATAGTCTCCCTAGGTCTCTGGTGTGTCCAAAGACCTCAGAATAGCATTTTTACATGTATTTATACCAAGTAGGGTCGGGCCCAGACAAAACACCATTTCCGACGCGAAAAAGGACTTGGCTCTGTAAATTTTGTACAAGCGCGCTGCACGCTGTGGCGCACTATGCGGCGCGGCAGCGGGGAAGTTTAGGGAGCTATTTTCTGATAGACTGTTGTAAAATTGCACAGATGCGGCGCACTGTGCGGCGCGGAAGTGCAATTTTCTCAGAGTGAAATTATTTCATCCTCTTTTGACATCCAGACTTGGTACACGACCTCCGAACACGATCCCGACATAATGCATTGGGCTTTTACTCAGACTTCAAAACTCCAAATTGATCGATTTAGCTCCAAATTAACTTTTGAACTCGGGATCACTTCCTGCAAGGCATAAAACACGTACTAAGTGTAATTCACTATCATTTGAGCTTAAGCACACGTAAAAATGCAGTAATTGGAATGTAATACTACGGCTAAAACACGATTTTCTAGCCTCACATCAATCACCATATCAGTAACAACATGATCATTCACCCTTATTACTCCTTGTTGCGGCGTGCAACCCGATCCCACCAGTCCACCCTTATTACTCCTCAATATATGTCACCCTTATTCCTTTTGTTGCGGCGTGCAACCCGATCCCACCCGTCCACCCTTATTACTCCTTGTTGCGGCGTGCAACCCGATCCCACCAGACAACATCAATTCCTTATTCCTCCTCAACATATCAACAACCAGACATAGTTTAAAATCAACAACAACAACAATTCAACAACCCAATCACAAGGATTTCTACCACCAAGAGTATGAGTACACGACAACAAGAGAATCACAGAAAAACCAAGAAGCACAACAACCTTTACAAAAACAACAAGACATATAAGGCACGTGATAACTACACAACAATTGGACACATAACATATAGGCACGGGGTCATAGAGGAATTCACAATTAAGAAATAACAAAATAATAAGGAGGACAGTCACATCAATTAAGGCAAATAAGGTCCAAGCAACAAGTAAGAGTTAGAGGAAAACTAACAACGCCGTATGGAGCATATAGAGGTAAAACAATCAATTAGGAAACCCAATCATATCGGGAAACTTCCCACTTAATGAACATAAGGACCTAAGGACCCTAAAGGCAAATTTTCCACAAATAAGTCCGAGCACACACTCGTCACCTCGCGTGCACGGACTACAATTAGCATAGAAGACTCAAATCCTAAGGGGGAGTCGCCCACACAAGGTTAGGCAAGATACTTACCTCAATCCGGCCAACTCAATACTCAATTTAGCTTTTCCTTTACCAATTCATCAATGCTCGGCTCAATCTAGCCAAAAACGACTTGAATACATCAAACAATGCAATAGAAAACAATTTTAATTAACAAAGCTATGATTCTTATACAATTTGTAAAAAGTCAACAAAAGTCAATTCCCCGGGCCCGCACCTTGGAACTCGACAAAATTTACAAAAACTGAATACCCATTCCGGTATGAGTTCACCCATACAAAAATTATCAAATTCCGATACCATTTGGTCCTTTAAATCATCATTTTACATTTTTGAAAGATTTCACAATTTCCCCCAAATTTTCCTTTAGATTCTCATGAATTTGATGTTCAATCTAAGATATAATCACAAAATATAGTTGAAAATTGATTAGAGACACTTACACAATAATTTGGTATGAAAATCTTATCTCAAAATCGCCTACTCCCGGACCTAGGGTTCAAAATATGATAAAATGAAGCTAAGTCCCGAAATCGGAGTCTTATTACCAGCCTCAGATGTCGCATTTGCGACATCAGGATCGCAAATGCGATACTCGCAAATTTGACAAAGGTATCGCAAATGCGAAGGCTGGCTAGCTCTGATCAGGTCGCAATTGCGATCCCTGAGATGTTCGCAAAAGCGACAGTTTTGTCGCAAATGCGGAGTTGCGTACTCGCGAATGCGATATAGTTGTTCGCAATTGCGAACTCCCCTGCCCCAGCCCTGCATCGCAAATGCAAGAATGACCTCACAAATGCGGTCATCGCAAATGCGATGAAATCCTCACAAATGCGAGAACTGAAACACCAGCACAGTTGAACCTCTTCTAAAACTCCGAAACGCGTACGAATCTCACCCGAGCCCTCGGGGCTCCAAACCAAACACCCGCACAAGTCTGAATACATAACGCAAACTCTCTTGCACGATCGGAACACCAAAATAACCTCTAGAACCACGAATCGGATGCCGAAACGCATGACTATGAACTTCAAAAACTTCTAAAATTGCAACCAAGCGTCCGAACCATATCAAATCAACTCCAAACGACACCAAATTTTGTAGGCAAGTGACAAATGACATAACAGCGCTGTTCCAACTTTCAGAATCGCATTCCGACCTCATAAAACAAAGTCAACTATGCGTCAAACCTCTCCATTTTCCAAACTTCAACTTTTCCAACTTCCGCTGAAATGCCTCATGTTACCCTACGAGCCTCCAAATCCAAATCCGAACGTACGCCTAAGTCCAAAATCACCATACAGAGCTACTGACATCATCCAAAACTCATTCCGGAGCCGTTTACTCAAAAGTCTGATTCTGGTCAAATTCTCACCGCTTAAGCTTCCAAAACTAGATTCCTTTTTCCAATTCGACTTCGATTCATCCGGAAACAGAATCCAAACATGTACGCAAGTCGGTTAAACATAATATAAAGCTGATCGTGACCTCAAACCGCCGAACCGGACGCAATTGCTCAAAACGACCAGTCGGGTTGTTACAATAGCGTTCAACATCCTAGATACCATGAAATGGTTACTGATTCTTTAAGGATGCACTTCGATTTTGAAACCCATGAAAGTGTTGAACAACCTCCTAATGAAGAGGAAAATATATTTATGAACAATTAGAGGCCGCTAATCGTCCACTAAGACAAGGGAGTATGCACTCACAGTTTTAGCAGTGAAGATGGAGATGATGCAATATAAAACACTCATTGAATGGTGTGTATTGCTAAACAAAGTATTGAACTTATCAATATTTAGTTGGGACTAATTTTGAATGATGATTGTATTGTTGATATTATTTTGTTATTGAACATCTGTATAGTTGTTGTTGGGGTTGTTATTAGCGTTGTTGGTAATTGTTGTTGTTGTTGTTAGATAATTATTGTTGTTAGTTAATTATGTTGTTAGTTAATTGTTGTTGTTAGTTAGTTAGTTAATTGTTGTTGTTGTTGATTAATTATGGTTGAATGGCAGCAATGTAATGCTGCCATTATAGGATGCATATTGGTTGTAATTGGAAGGTGGTGTAGCATAAAAGCAGGCATTTTCTGCCCAGTTTTTACCCAGAAAACCGAGCAAAATCGATCGGAAATATTTTTTTTTGCCTAGAAATTCATAATTTCCGACTGAATTCGGTCGGAATTTCAATAAAATCTCCAGATTTTTGAAATTTCCGACCGAATTCGGTCGGAAATTATGAATTTAAATTTATTTATTTAAATAAATTAATAATTTATTACAATTTACAAATAATTATATATTTAAATAAAGTTATTATTTATTTAAAATTACGACCGATTTCGGTCGGTATTTGAAAATTAAATAATTTTTTTTTATTATTACTGACCGAGTTCGGTCGGTAAATGAAGTTTGACAGTCAGTCAACGCTTTGAAAATACCGACCGGTTTCGATCGTAAATTTTCGACCGATTTCGGTCGCAACACGTTAGCGACCATCATTTTTCCGACTAATTAAAAGCGGCCGAAAATCGGTCGATTTTTTACAATTTTCAACCGATTCCGATCGGTTTTCTCGGACGAATTTAAGCAGTTTTTAAGTAGTGTAATAATATAAGGTTCTTCGGGAATTAACTTCAAATTTTCTCCAAATCACTCATTAAAGAGTCATGTTGTAATGAGACTAAACTCTTGAAAATGTAAAACATGATAAAGAACAACAGTAGATACATTTCGAATGTAATTGAATAACGTAATATGAGCATACAATAAAATATAAGTTGGGGCATCAAATTTGGCGATCATATATATACTCTAATTTGCACCACGATCTATGATGAACTAACACGTAGGCATAAGCATGCACGTGCAGAGTTTTATTTATTATGATTTTGATATAACTTGATATAACACATATATAATTTAAATAAAAAGGTAAAAATAAAAAATTAAGGATCAGAACTTTATTTTTATTTGTTTTGCGTTTAGCAATTAAGCGCAGACCATGCATGCATACGTCACTGTGGCTGTTATTTATTCCCATATAATTTAAAGCTATTAGCAATATAAGTATTTTAGGACGTTAAGAATTATTTAGAGCAACTTAGGCTAAAAGTTATTTTGTGCCTGGCTGATTAAAGACTGAATTACTAGTATAAAATCTCATCTTAGTTTGCCCCTATAAATATAAGTCCAACTAACATTAGTTCCTCGTCAAAATCCCACATCTATTCTATCCATCCTATCTTTCTCTCCTTTATATTTTCCTCTTTTCCCACTCTCATAAAAAAATGGATAAAAGAACATGCAATTCTCAAGATGTTGAAGTTAGGAAAGGTCCTTGGACTATGGAAGAAGATTTGATTCTCATCAATTACATAGCTAATCATGGTGAAGGTGTTTGGAATTCCCTTGCTCGATCTGCTGGTAATTAATTAACTAGGACTAACTTTTTTTTTTTTATTAAAAATAACCCTAAATACCGTTTAGTCATGTACACTTGTTCTTCCTCTCTTTTATTTCTTCCTTTTATTAAAAGAAAAATTTCTTATATGAGAATCAGGATAGGGTAACGGAAAAGAATATTGTAAATCAGAGACAAATTAAGGATTTGAAAATTATAGATTTTTACAACGATCTCAAGTTAATCTAGAATAATAACTAAATTTACAGCCAAATATTTTTAGTGACTTTCTTAATTGGTATATACATGATATAAACAAAAATTACTGGGTTGACGTGAATCTATATATTGTACTGTGTAAATTGAACCTACACCTAGTATGTGGCTAGAAGACTCCCCCCACTAATATATATATATATATATACCTCTAGACCATAACCTTAGTAGTTCCTAATTTTTTTTTTAGTCTATATATATTAAATGTTATTTTTTAAAATTGTGGTAGGTCTCAAGCGTACCGGAAAAAGTTGTAGACTCCGGTGGCTAAACTATCTCCGGCCGGATGTTCGGAGGGGAAATATTACACCTGAAGAACAGCTCTTGATTATGGAACTGCATGCCAAGTGGGGAAACAGGTGAGTTAATTAATAAATTTGATTCTAGTATTTTGATTATTACATCAAGTGAAATATATAGTTGAATTTTTTTAAATAAATTAAAAAAGAAGTGGTGGAATTTCCTCCTTCAGGTTTTTGATTCTCCCATATGTGTGTCTTTTGTGTTGAGTGAACAAAGAGAAATTTTCCCAATTTGGTCATGAACTCGTAGCCAAAAATCTCTTAAGTCCATAACCTGTTCAAAGAACTAGATTTGGCATGTGAGAGAGTGAAGAAGAATTTTCAACGTGCGGAATGTAACAAGATTTTTGTTTACCAAGAAGTTGAACTTTTTTATTTTATACGATCATATATAGTATGAAAAAGAATATATGTAGAACTCCTAACCGATTTAATTAGTAAATTATTACTCATACAACGTGTAAAAGTTGTGTTCAAAGATTTTATTCTACATATGCAACTCCGTATATATCGATCAGCTTATATTTTCTATTTTTGGGAAGGTTTGAACTACTTTTCCTCAACCATTTTTTGGGTTTATGGCTTGATTTGACAGTCTAAAATTCTTTAAGATTAATCACGTAAACGACATTCCGTCGATTAACATGAAAGTACAAAGCGATGTCACTTCTACAGTAATTACATTAATTTATTATGCTTTACAATATAGGAAAATAATAGTATGACAGGGATTCGGCCTTGCGTTATAGCAGGATACGACATATGTATTTTAGTATTATCATCTTATGTTTCAGATTACTAATCTCACTTTTTAATGCATAATTACATATAATTATCTTTTAAGTGCCGCAAAGTTCTCTTATATTGTTAGGGCTCGTTTGGTATGAGGATAAGGAATAATTAATCCCGGGACTAAATTTAAGAAGAGCTTATCTATGTTTGGTTAAAAGAAAATTACAGTATAATTAATCTCGGGATTAGATATTCCGGGATTGTAGTATTTTTTTATCCCCGTGGAAAGGTGAAATAACTAATCCCAGGATAATTAATCCTTCGATAACTTATTGCCAACCAAACGACCCCTTAGTAAGTTAATTAAACCCATGACATATTGTGAACGAGCTGAGCCAAAAGAATAGAAGTAGTTTCCATTTAAAGAAGAACCCATTGAACTGAATCACATGCTAAGGCCTTTGATCTATCATCAGTTGAAAGATCGAAGCAGCAGCTCTTTCTCTAAGTTGCTTTGATTGAAGCAGACAGCTACCTTATTCTTTTGGCTTTTTATGAACACAAGGGCCCCCTCTTCCTACCCTAGGTTTTTACAGTCGGACTTTATGTTATATACACGTCGTAAAAATATTTAGATAAGGTAGTTTGATTCGGCACGGAGTTTAAGGGAAAAAAAGAAGACTTTGAAACTTGTGGTCTTACAAGTTTAAGGGGTAAAAGCTTTGTGAGGCTATGATATTTTTGTGGTTATAAAAACTTCTCATTAAGGGTAAAATAGGTAAAATGAAGAGTTTAAAGTTGAATTATTTCCAATTGTAGAAATGTGTCATTCTTTTTTAAACAGACTAATAAGGAAAGTGTGTCATCTAAATTGAAAAAGAAAGAGTAGAAAACGTCCCCCTCAGTAATTTTATTCTCTATCGCGATTCCCGTCAATTTATGATATCTCAGGCTGTTGACTTATTATCGTAATGTATTCTGTTGAACAACTCTTTTTCCTTCTGGAGGCATTGGAGAATATAGGAATTAGGAAATGAGTTATTAGTTGAAAGTTAGGGTTTTTGTGGCTTTCCCTAGTTTCAAAGTCAATTTGACAGTTGAGTTTCCTTTATATAAGAAATGGAGGCAAAAGCAGGCTTGAATTTCAGCCACATAACATGGACATATCCTTAGTTTTCAACCACAAATTAAACGTGACTGAAAACATTTATATCAATATGGAGTATTCTAGTGTTCTAATTTCCATTCCACTGCCATACTGCTATAAATAATTACCAGAATCTTAGAAGAAAGATGCTATATATTGTCAGTTGGTGGATTCAGAATTTTTAAGTCGTGGGTGCTTAACTATTTTTCTTTTAAATTTTGGGTGTTCAGTCAATATACTTATGTAAATTACTAAAAAAAAATTTAGTCTAAATATTAGTGTTTGGTTCCAAAGTTAATGGGTGCTTGAGCACCCATAACCTTAAACGTAGATCCGCCATTACATATATATATATATATATATATATATATATATATATATATATATATATATATATATATATATATATAAAAACAGTTTAAATATTCTTGACACTACTAATGGAATTAAGTTAACCTGTACGATGATATGCTATCATTTTTATCGGGTTACCAACTATGTAACGTTTATCATACAGGTTTATCTGTAATTACCTTATAATTAAGTGACTTGATTGTGCAAATACTTTATATACGTTAGTGCAAAGAATTTAAACTAATCCTTTTGAATAGGTGGTCAAAAATTGCAAAGCATTTGCCAGGAAGAACAGATAACGAGATAAAGAACTACTGGAGGACAAGGATCCAAAAACACATTAAGCAAGCAGATCAAAGCATGAATATAAGAGCATCATCAAATTCTGAGCACAACCATCATCAACAAGCAAGTACAAGCCAAGCTTCTACTGGAAATAATACCATTGAAACCTACTCTCCATCATCTTACAATGGAAATAATATGGGTACTACTAATTTTCAGGCCAATTTTCCAGCTGAAACAAATGAAAATATTTGGAGCATGGAGGACCTTTGGTCCATGCAATTGCTTAATGATGCAACCAACTAATTAATAATCATCAATATAATTAAGCTATAGGTAGCTACAGTGTAAAGCAAATTAACAATTCTGCATTATATTATATTAATTCCCATGTCGATGCTTCTTCGTGAGTCACTGTGTAATACAACTATAAAACTTATGAGTTTACGATTTATGCATTAATGGTATTGTAAAAATATGCACAATCAAGTTACTTAGTATAAAGTAATTACAGGTGAATTTCTATGATAAGAATTACTACTTTGTAACTTGATAAAAAGATGCGCAACTAATTACCTACTATCACATATTAAACTATACATTAATATTGTAAAATATCTTTACAGTAGTACTTTGTGTAATTATCTGGCCAAATACTAATTAAGGGAAATGACGGTGATCAGTTCATCCATCAAATCATGAACACTTGGAAAAGGGTTTAGTTCCTTTTTTTTTCTAATTATATTCTGGATAGTTTTCCTAAAACAAACATGCAATAATTATGTTTGTCTTAATCTATCTCTAAATAAAAAATGTGATGGGAACCTGTAGAAGGAATGGTAGCTGTGCATGGTATCCATTTGAATGGGCGCAGGGACATGTATTATATACTGTCCTAGACTAAATTTTTCTTATATCGATATATAAATTAAATTCAACGTAAGTCATTCATAATTACTAATATGCACGGGCTGCCAACATATACCGAACTGAATTCACAAGAAATGGACGTGTGGAAAGGCAATATAGCTATTTTGAGAAATTTCAATCTTTGGCTTTCCACAATTAACTATATATGTGCATGGTTTTGCATGGATGAAGTCCGACGTGAGCCTAACTTTTAAGTATATAGAAGGAAGTCTTCACATGGTCTCTATCAGTTCACATCCAACTTTCAACATGTTGCTTCAACATTTTGATTAGTAAATAATAGGGGCAGACGGGTTCGTTCGAACTCAATAGCTTTAGTTTATATTTTATATTGGTATTAAAAAAGTCAATAAATATATACAAAAATTAAAATTCAGTACCCGAACTAAACACCTAAACGCATTATCTTGCAATTTAGAACTCAAAAAATTGATATCCTGACTTCACCTCAAAATTTGCATGCCCTATTAATCAAAAGTACTTGATATTACTCATCCATGAGTGTACCTTTTTACGCGCAACTAATGTACTAATGGAAAAAAACAACCCACTTAGGCACTTTATTGACTTACACAAACTTGGTGTTTAGTCTCATACTTATTTAGGAAGGATATTTCACGTCATTTGTCGTTTTATGTTGCATATGTTGATCATTGTTGGACCATTGTCTTGATTCATTAATTGTTTATTTTTCCATTATTGTCGTATAGTCCATCTACATTATTAAAGAATTAGCTGGCTGTTAGAAGATGAATTTGATTAGCATATATACTTTCCACAATGCATATAGTCCCCCTAATTACACTCCCAAGTATTTTAATTTAAAAAACAAAATTTTTAGAGTTTTCTTTGTTAAAGGTATAATAAATTAATTACAGTTGCTCTTGATCTTCAATAAATTAAAATTTTTTAAATGAAATAGTCACACAAATCAAATATATATATATATATATATGATACCAGAGAAGAGCAGGTAATTAAAAGTGATTATATATTCGAATCTCACTACTACATAAAAAGGATTTTCGTGTGTTTGGCCTATGCAAAGCTTTAAGCTTCCCGATAAGATGTTCACATATTTCAACGTTCTTCATTTAGGAAAGAAGAGGGGAAAAAAGGGCAGCCAGCCCGGTACACTAAGTTTTCGCTATGTGCAGGGTCCGGGGAACGGCCGGACCACAAGGGTCTATTACGCAGCCTTACCCTGCATTTCTGCAAGAGGCTATTTCTACGACTTGAACCCGTGACCTCCTAGTCATATGGCAGCAACTTTACCAGTTACGTCGAGGATCCTCTTCTTAGGAAAGAAGAGGCAAAGTGGAAAAAGAAAGAGAATTCAAGATCACAGCTAAACTTTTCATTGAAAGAACACACTTTGAATGAGAAGAAAACATGGAAAAGTTACGAAACTTGGTAGGTCTTACCACAGAAAATGAAAGAGAAATATTGTTGTGGGCTTTCACAGTACGAAGATCATACGAAATAAACTCCCCACAATTTTGGTCCACTTGTTGTATTTCATCACATGTTTCAAGTGTAAAATGTGAAGCAATAAAGGATAACTCCCCACGTGAATGATATAAATCACATGCTGGGGCAGCCATAGTACTCATTACTCCCTCCGGTCCAAAATAAGTGATTTTTGATGTTTTTACACAGATTAAGAAATCCACCTTTTAGCATTAATTATTAATGGAATTGACCATATTAACCTTTATTATCTCACATAAACACTCCTAACACATATTCCAACACTATTTACTTCAAGGACAATGTAGGAAAAAAATAATTAATTCATCCTTGAAATCTGAAAAATCACTTATTTTGGACCACAAGGAAAAGGCCAAAAAATCACTTATTTTGGACCGGAGGAAGTATCACTCAAAAAAAAAGTTAAATTTTATGTACATTTTTATTATCACATCACATATAAGATAATTGCGTGTGCGTAACTATTCATAGTAAATGAAATTAGTAACTTGACACTTAGACAAATAAATTGGCATAACGAGTAAAATTCACTAATAATATAAGGGTTCTTTATGTTGTTAGTGTATATAAAAAAAGTCCTTCAAAAGAAAAAGACAAAATTTAAAGTACCAAAATCAATGTACTATAAAAATAGTACTACATAATAGTACTATAAATAACCTTTTTATGATTAAAATTATTTAAAAAAGTGTTCTAAAAATTATATAATAATAATATTGATTAATAAATTATGTGACACAGCAAATATATATACCGGATTTATCGTTCATAGCTATATTTTAGAAAATTACTATTCGTAGCTATATTTAAATTTTATAGCAAATTCACAAATAGTGTTGAAACAAGAGATCAATTATTTTGAACAGAAATAAAAGAGAAACAACTCTCGTAACTCAATGAAGGCATTCTATACTACGAATGGTAGTTAGACAAACTGTTGTTACCTATGATATTAAGCTCTAAAATTAGTGCTACATGAAAATTGAAGAATTTTGCACAATACAGACGGAGAAAGAATTGAGATTTGAGAATTTTCTAGAGGGAATCAACGAGAGCTTCCTTCATTCTGTTTCGATACAAATTTTGCTGCTAAGAAGAAGAAGTTACATCTACAGTGTATTTAACTAACTTTAGGACAGCTGTACACAACTAACTCTAACTATCACTAACTAACACCATGGTTAAGTTAAACTAACTAAAGTTAACTACTAGAGTTAACTTATATATATTCTTCACACACCCCCTCAAGCTAGGACTAGGAAATATGTTGAGTAGACCTAGCTTGGATAGCAAATAGGAATGCTGGATTCGACCAACTCCCTTTGTGAGTATATCAGCTTCCTGCTCTGCTGTAGGACAATAGAGAGTAGAAACAAGACCATGTTGAATCTTCTCACGAATGAAATGGCAGTCGATATCAATGTGCTTCGTACGTTCATGAAATACAGGATTGGCAGCAATAGCAAGGGCAGATTTACTATCACTGTAGATAGGCACATGTGAATTATGATCCACTCCCAGCTCCTTGAGTAGACCAACGATCCAAGTAATCTCTGCAACTGTGGATGCTAAGCTGCGATATTCAGCTTCTGCTGAGCTTCGAAAGATAGTGGACTGTTTCTTAGATTTCCAAGAAATCAAGGAAGAGCCAAGTTTGACAAAGTAACCTGTAACTGACTTGCGTGTGTTGGGACATGCAGCCCAATCTGCATCACAAAATGCTGAAAGTGATTCAGAGCACTTGGCAGCCAAGAAAACTCCCAAACCAGGACTGTTTTTGATATATCTGACCACCCTGACTGCAGATTCCATATGAGAAGCCTTAGGACTATGCATGAACTGGCTCAGACTTTGAACAGCAAAGGAAATATCTGGCCTTGTTACTGTCAAATAAAGTAGCTTACCCAAGAGCCTTTGATATAGCCCTGGATTAGCCAATAATGTGTCATCAGAGGTACTTATATGAATGTCAAATTCAGCAGTAGTGAGCTTCACATTTGGCTCCATAGGACAATAAGCATGCTTAGAGCCTGATAGCCCCAGCTCAGATATGAGTTCTAAGGCATACTTGCGTTGATGCATTAGTATACCATCACTGTTTCGTGCAAACTCTATCCCCAGAAAGTATTTAAGTTCTCCCAGGTCTTTGATCTTAAAAGAGGTTTGTAAATCATCTTTAGTCTGTTGAATCATGGTAGGATTATCTCCAGTGATAAGGAGGTCATCAACATAGACAAGAACCACCACCATGTGATCTCCTGATCTTTTGATGAACAAGGAATAATCTAAATGACTCTATTGAAACCCAGAATCCACCAAGGCTGATGTGAGCTTGATATTCCATTGTCTAGATGCCTGCTTAAGTCCATAGAGGGACTTAAGTAATTTGCAAACTCTGAAGTTAGATTTTGGTCCACTGAAACCTTGAGGTATCTCCATATACACCTCCTCAGATAGATCTCCTTGCAAAAAGGCATTATAAACATCTATTTGATGAATGGACCATTGCCTTGAAGCTGCAATGGACAACACACTTCTGACAGTAACCATCTTCACCACAGGTGAAAAGGTTTCTTGGTAATCTAAACCTTCTCTTTGATTGTACCCTTTGGCCACCAATCTAGCCTTGAACCTTTCAATCTCCCCTGAAGCCTTATACTTGATCTTATAAACCCACTTACATCCTATTTCCTTTTGTCTTGGTGGCAAGGGCACCAGTTCCCAAGTCTTATTGTCCTCCAATGCTTTGATTTTTGTCTGCATTGCCTCAACCCATCTCTTGTCCTTCACTGCCTCTAAATATGATGTTGGTTCCACCTCCACTGAAAAATTTGCCAAGTAACTTTGATATTTTGGAGAGATCCCTTCATATCCAATCACGTCTGAAATAGGATACTTGCAGCAACTTGTAGAACTGTTCTTGTTATCTCTAACATAGTCCTTAAGCCATATGGGAGGCTTAGATATTCTCGTAGATTTTCTAGGTTCCCCATCATCAGGCAAAGTGAGAGAGTTCCCAGGACTGTCCACACTGTTATGTTCAGCAAGGTGTGAAATGCCCTGATCATCTGAGACAACTGGAGTTGGAGTAGGAGAGT